AGTAAATCATTTCTATAGAGGAAAGGTTACTATTTCTAATCACACTCTGGTCAAGGAGCCCCAAAATTTTCCTAAGCTCAGAAATAGTAACTAGTGCTTACGTGCTGTTTATAATTTTTTTCTGTACCGTCAATGGTAACTGTCAAAAAGTGTCTTTCACTGTGCAGCTGCAGTAACTTGTTTCTTAAAAAAAGACAAAAACAAAAACAAACAAAAAATAAATCACCCTAAAATTGTAAAAAAGCTATTTATTTTACATAGGGACGGCCAAACCTAATTTCGCTTCAGCGTGTTAGGCAAACAGCGATTCTAAGACAAGCAAGATAAATAAAGACGAAAAAAGACTTTAATAGGAATGTCGTACAACGTAGTCATGGTGACTGTGACGTCTTTGCAACTCGAGCCGGGGCCAGTGGACATAGATTCTTTAGAGTCCAGTTGCGCTGCTTGATTGAAAGCTGATAAACGTTGCGCACCCATAGACGCGCTATACGAATAGTTCAGAAATTCATTAACTTGCCAAAGCAGGGGCATCTGCCGTTTAGGTTTCGCATTACTAGGGGTAATTCATCGAAATAAAGATCCATTATCATCGTCATAACCGTTCTTTTTAGTTACCAACAATGCATGATCCCAGGACGAGTAGACGTGACGTCAAAGGATAACAGTATTAAAATACTGAAACTGATACGGAGGTGGCGATTGTGAGACAAAACTGAGACAACTCCTTCAGCTATCACAAAAAGTGTCCAAAGCGTCTCTGAATTTCGCCACCAAACTCCAATAGTTTGAAGTGCACCGCATTGCTATGTCGTACATAGCGTACGGGACTCTTCTTTGTGAGATAGGCCGACAACTCGAGCAGCATGATCATGTACTGTTACTCGAGATGTGTGGATTGGATGGCGAAGCTGCCAATATTCCTGATGCCCGTTCGTTGTTGAAGAAACTGGAAGAAAAGAAACACTTGACAATTGACGACCTGGGAGATTTGGAGGAAGTCCTGGAGAGTTTCGAGGAGCTTTCTCTGTTGAGAAAACTAAAAAATTTTCAGAGCAAAAGGAAAGAGTATAACGATTTGTTAGCTTTGATCAGTCAAGCACTCAATAGCTACGAACGCAATCATCTGGAACAACTCATCAACATCTGTAGAAGGAAGACGTCGGAAGATTTTGAGGTGGACATTCTCGACGTTCGACCACTGTTCCAAGAGCTGGAAAAACGCCGACATCTTGGATTCCGTCGCTTTACTTTTTTAAAAGAGATTCTGACAGAAATAGAGAGAGAGGACCTGGTGAGGAAGGTTCAGGATTTCGAGGAGAGGAGAAATAATAACGACTCGTTTGAACTAAACAAAGGTAAGGACCTACTTTAAGCGCCACTTATCAAGGTGGAGGAGAAGGGTTCGTTGTTCCGAATGCTCAGTGGTTTAGATTAATTGTACTAGAGACTGAAGTATCGCGTCTTTCTTATCATGATCAATGTAGTTTATGGAAAAAACCGTCTTCATGAATACATCCTTCACTTTCAGGTCATGTTGTTTCCTTGGCCAAAGATGTTGGTGGAAGACTGAGAGGAGGTACGCAATTTGCAAGTATTATTTTATCTTTCTTATGTTAACAGTTATGTCTTCAATTGAAAATTAGGAGTGTGCATGAAATTATACAAATTCATATCAATTTTGCTCGGGCGTCATACGTCCTCACCTTTCCTGTAGATTCAGGAGTTTCGGCAACACATATTTTGATTTTTGATTTTACATATATCATTTACATTTAGTCCAATTCTCTTCTTGTTTACTGTAAGCGAAGCCGGGAAGTTCGATTGCTGAAGCTCATATATAATTAACTGTGAATTTGACAAGCATACTAAAATCTCTCACTAAGTGCATCAGCCATATCCTGAAACTGTATTATTCAGTGACCTTTTTGATAGATTTATTCGCTTGTCTTACTATGTCCAGTTGCACAAAACTCTTAGAGACGGTATAATTGATTTAGTATTTCTGTCATTGTGTACCGGCTAGTGAAGTTTACCGGTCACAATCTCTTGTGAAGTTTATCAGTTGTATCCTGAAATCGTTTCATTTGGTGACCTTTCCTGAAACTTAATTTCTCGTTTCATTGTGTTCAAATGCAGAAAACCAACAAATTAAGTATTTTCCTCCGTCCAGTGTCTGTCAGCTATCGGTTCTGGCCATAAAAAAGAAGGGCAAGTCAAATTTTTCTTTTCTCGGTCGCCACTTGAATCTACATAATTCCTCTTAAGCATCAACTTGACAATTTGATGTCGTTTACGAAAATCGTAACATGCATGGCGTGACTCGGTGAGCTTACTGTCAAACACGTGAACATTAACAAAATTACAAATCCATGTACTAAATTAAAAACTTATTTCTGAAGACATAAACAATTTTTTCAAACACAATTCTATTTATGAAACAATTTTTTGTGTAATAGAAAAAATCCGAGCCCCATTCTAAATAAATTCTATTTATCAAACAGAAATCATATTCTCAAAATACAAACAAATTTCCCGAAACACAAGTCACTTTTTCAAAACACAAACCAATTTCCCAAAACACATACTGAAAGACTAGATACCAACGCCATGATTATCAGAGTCTGGATTTCCTGCGTTCAATATGGCGCTTGCTTCAGACCGTTTTAAGGAATCTTTTTGCCACAACTTTGTTTGCTATCAGTTTGGAATACCAAATCCGTCTAATCCTCCCTTTTTATAGTTTAATGACCATACTGAATTTTGTTTAATTGCGTTGTTCTGTTCGGTCTCCTGGCCAAACGAATAACCAAGTTTATTTTTCTTTTCTTTATTTAGTGCTGAACATTAACACGGCTTGCAGAGTGGCTAAAACGGGTTTAGTGTTGTTCTCTCTCCATGAACTGTTTAATCGTTGTACAACTTATGAACAACTCTACAACTTCTTCCAAGATTGTGTGCTTCCCGCCAATACACAATTGATTGACGTCAGTGAAGGATGCGTGTGCATCACAGTTCAAGCAGAGAATATAAAGGGGCTCTCTACCCTGTGGAACATGTACCAGGATGGCACACTCAAAACCCTCCTGTTCAATTTCTTGGTTAATGATGAAATGAAGACCCGTGCCGGTGGTGAAGAGAATGTAGAGCTGACTGTAACGATTGAGAAGGAAGAATACGACATGGCATGCACTGAGTTCATCAACGAAACTCAAGGTAATCTAAGGTTTGTTCTCAAAATTAGGAAATTTTTGCAGATGCTCCTGATCTTAGGATCAAGGCCAGACTCACAACACCGGGAGCTATGTTCCCTACTCTTTGCAATAAGTGAGTGGGGTCTTTAACGTCATCTGCTAACCAGTGCGAAGACTGGAAGATGTAGTACAAAGGGCCTATGGTTTCTTTTTTCCAAATCCGAGAAGACTGGAATATTTAACCCGCATTTGCAGATGTCAAAGCAAAGGCAGCACATTTTCTTCAGTCATTTTATGACCCGAAGTGTTGGTCCGGTCTGAGGCTTGAATCCTCGATCTGCGATCTACAACAGGAGCTAACCAAGCAAAAATATTTTGTAACAGTTTTAATGGCCGAGTTCTTCAAATGTGGGTTGAGATAACCCGGGATTAGTGTGAAATTAAATTTCAGATCTGAGAGCTTTAAAAGAAAGTTCAGTTTGTCTACATTTAACAATTAGCTACAATTAGGAAAGTTATCTCAAAACGGCTTTTCAACAGAGAAATATAGAAACCTATATTAGATCAAAATTTACTGCCCCGGGTTAACGCTAAGAGACCTTCGAACAACTGGGCTCATATCTATTTCTATGTTTATATTGGTAACAGATAATGAACAAATAATTCAGTATGTTTATATATATTGGTAACAAATAATAAACGTCCAAGTGAAATAAAATGGAACCCACGAATAGCACAGATTTTTAATAATATCCATGTTTGAATAATCCGTGTCTGCAAAGTCACGCTTGATCAGTAAATAAATAAAGTGATTTAAAGAAGAAAAGTTAGTTCGATAGCTTACCTTAAGATCTTTGGGGCGCAATTCCTAAATTTCAAACTGTTTGAGAAATATGCAGAGAAATATGCATCCTCTGGCACTCTTGCAGATCTTTTTTTACAGTATCTATGTCTTTTCCGCCTAAAAGAGAATGAGTGCGAAAAACCGTTTGAGCCTCAATATTGCTGGTCAGCGGAAACAAATAATTGTGTTCTTTGTGCGGATACTTAAATCATTAACCTTCTCCTTATACTTAAACAATCGGACGCCGGTTTCCATCCACGCTTGAAGGATACGTTTAATTCTCCAAAGATGTATTCAAATGCGAGTGCCGGTTGAGACTTTTCAATAGAAAACTATTGCCTTTCTTTCAGGGGATAAAACTGAACAGGCAAAGCCTAACAAATCGAGGAAGATGCAAGAAGCCTTTATACTGCTTTAGAGTTTAAAAGTTCCAGTTAGTGTTGAGTCACAGCTCGTGAATATCAAAGTGATCTTCGTAGTAACGAGAATGCTGAGTTTGCAAAGACCACTCGAATCGGCTAAGAAGAACTGATTTCATTGAGATCTAGCTATACGAGTCGAGAATCCATAGAGTTTGCTCCTCGACACTACGGCTCCACCACTTTCTCACGTGAAGGGAACTCCGGAGAATGATATCGAAGATCAGTAGAAATACACTAATCGAATAGCAGATTTCCGAAGTATGACTATAGAACGAGGACTCAAATGAATTCGTTTTACAGAGTAAATTTGATTTGAACAAACTCATCGATGGTTTAACCACATAGTCAGCCCGGAACAAACTTTAATATATATCAAACAGCTGGTCGTATTTTCAAACCTTCGCGAGCCTGCTGCACCCTTGTGTAAACCTGTTCATTTTTGATACTTTGCACGTATCTATAAACCTAGCAAACAAGTTCAATGTTAATATTTTACAGATATTTACTATCCTAGCAAAGGGGTTCAAGGACAATAATTTGGNCCCTGCACTTCGCTGCCTATGGAGGTAATGTCACCATCATCGAGACAATAATGTCACGTGGTTTTGTTGTGGATTCAAACGATCATGACGGCAACACACCCTTACTATTGGCTGCACAGGGTGACAAGGTTGAGGCGGTAAATTGTCTATTAGACAAGGGAGCGGATCCCTTTGTAAAAGGAGAGTTTGGACGAAATTCACTGCACTTCGCTTCACAGCGTGGTAATATCGCCATCATCGAGACAATAATGTCACGTGGTCTTCATGTTGATTCAAAAGATGGTGACGGCAACACACCGTTGCTATTGGCTGCACAGTTTGGCAAGGTTAAAGCGGTAAATTATCTGCTAGACAAGGGAGCTGATCCCTTTGCGAAAGGACAGTTTGGAAGTAATTCACTGCACTTCGCCTCAACGGGTGGTAATGTGGCCATCATCGAGACAATAATGTCACGCGGTCTTGATGTCGATTCAGAAGATGGCAACGGCAACACACCCTTGCTATTGGCTGCACGGGGTAACAAGCTTTTGGCGGTAATCCATCTGTTAGAAAAGGGAGCTGATCCCTTTGTAAAAGGACAGTTTGGAAGAAACTCACTGCACTTTACTTCAGAGGGTGGTAATATCGTCATCATTGAGACAATAATGTCACGTGGTCTCGATGTCGATTCAAAAGATGGTGACGGGAGTACACCCTTGTTATTGGCTGCACAGGGTGAGAAGGTTGATGCGGTAAATTATCTCTTAGACAAGGGAGCTGATCCCTCTGTGAAAGGAAAGTTTGGAAGAAATTCACTGCACTTCGCTTCAATGGGTGGTAATGTCACCATCATCGAAACAATAATGTTATGTGGTATTGTTGTGGATTCAAAAGATCATGACGGCAACACACCCTTACTATTGGCTGCACAGGGTGACAAGGTTGAGGCGGTAAATTATCTCTTAGACATGGGAGCTGATCCTTTTGTGAAAGGACACTTTGGAAGAAATTCACTGCACTTCGCTTCAAAGGGTGGTAATGTTGCCATCATCGAGACAATAATGTCCCATGGTCTTGATGTGGATTCAAAAGATGGTGACGGCGACACACCCTTGCTATTGGCTGTAGAGGAGGACAAGGTTGAGGCAGTAAATTATCTCTTAGAGAAGGGAGCTGATCCCTTTGTAAAAGGAGAGTTTGGACGAAATTCACTGCACTTCGCTTCAGAGAGTGGTAATATCGCCATCATCGAGACAATAATGTCATATGGTATTGATGTGGATTCAAAAGATGACGATGGCAAGACACCCTTGATATTAGCTGTAGAGAATGGCAATGTTGAGGCGTTAAATTATCTGTTAGACAAAGGAGCTGATCCCTTTGTGAAGGAACGGTCGGGAAGTAATTCACTGCACTTCGCTTCAACGGGTGGTAATGTTGCCATCATCAAGACAATAATGTCACGTGGGCTTGATGTTGATTCAAAAGATGGTGACGGCAACACACCGTTGCTATTGGCTGCACAGTTTGGCAAGCATAAGGCGGTAAATTATCTGTTAGACAAGGGAGCTGATCCCTTTGTAAAAGGAGAGTTTGGAAGAAATTCACTGCACTTCGCTTCAGAGGGTGGTAATGTTGTCATCATTGAGACAATAATGTCACGTGGTCTTGATGTGGATTTAAAAGATAAGAATGGCAACACACCCTTGCTATTGGCTGCACAGTTTGGCAAGGTTAAGGCGGTAAATTATCTGTTAGACAAGGGAGCGGATCCCTTTGCGAAAGGACAGTTTGGAAGAAATTCACTTCACTTCGCTTCAGAGGGTGGTAATGTTCTTATCATTGAGAAAATAATGTCACGTGGTCTTGATGTCGAGTCAAAAGATGGCAACGGCAACACACCCTTGCTATTGGCTGCAAGGGGTGACAAGCTTTTGGCGGTGAGCCATCTGTTAGATGAGGGAGCGGATCCCTTTGCGAAAGGACACTTCGGAAGAAATTCACTGCATTTCGCTTCAGAGGGTGGCAATCTCGCCGTCATTGAGACAATAAAGTCACGTGGTCTTGATGTCGATTCAAAAGATGGTGACGGGAGTACACCGTTGCTAGCGGCTGCACGGGTTGGCAAGGTTAAGGCGGTAAATTATCTATTAGACAAGGGAGCGGATCCCTTTGCTAAAGGACAGTTTGGAAGAAATTCACTGCACTTTGCTTCAGAGGGTGGTAATGTTGCCATCATCGAGATAATAATGTCATATGGTCTTGATGTGGATTCAAAAGATGACGATGGCAAGACACCCTTGATATTAGCTGTAGAGAATGGTAATGTTGAGGCGTTAAATTATCTGTTAGACAAAGGAGCTGATCCCTTTGTGAAAGAACGGTTGGGAAGTAATTCACTGCACTTCGCCTCAACGGGTGGTAATGTCGCCATCATCGAGACAATAATGTCACGTGGTCTTGATGTTGATTCAAAAGATGGTGACGGATCCACACCTTTAATATTGGCTGCACTGAGTAACAAGATTGACGCGGTAAATTATCTGTTAGACAAGGGAGCTGATCCCTTTGTGGCAGGACAGTTTGGAGGAAATTCCCTGCACTCCGCTTCCTATGGAGGTAATGTCACCATCATCGAGACAATAATGTCCCGTGGTCTTAATGTGGATTCAAAAGATGGTGACGGCAACACACCCTTGCTATTGGCTGTACAGGAGGACAAGGTTGAGGCAGTAAATTATCTCTTAGAGAAGGGAGCTGATCCCTTTGTAAAAGGACAGTTTGGAAGAGATTCACTGCACTTAGCTTCAGTGAAAGATAATGTCGCCATCATCGAGACAATAATGTCACGTGGTCTTAATGTGGATTCAAAAGATGGGAACGGCAACACACCTTTGATGTTGGCTGCACACTTTGGCAAGGATAAAGCGGTAAATTATCTGCTAGACAAGGGAGCTGATCCCTTTGCGAAAGGACAGTTTGGAAGTAATTCACTGCACTTCGCCTCAGCGGGTGGTAATGTCGCCATCATCGAGACAATAATGTCACGTGGTCTTGATGTTAGAAAAAACCAGGAAAGATTTATTACTCGACGTTTCGGGGTCATCGTGACTCCATTATCAAGAGACTAGTTTAAAAACATGCAAATAAGGAAAGGTACAAGAATAGCATAAATTAGACTGAACGGCTTAAACAAACACCTTGGCGCGGATGGAATCCGTTTGCACGTTCAGTGTTGGCTTACGCATGCGAATATACAACATTTCATTAACAAGGCAATCAAATTTGCCGTTACATTTCGTGATGACGTTGAATTGCTCGATCAAGCGTTCAGGCATTTCACTATTGTGCTGGAGGTGGTAGTGTTTGTAGATAGAAGATGATTTCCTTTTGTGCCCTTCTACGCGCTCGTGTAAGTGACCACGAGTATAGCCCACATACCCTGCATCACACAGGTTACATTTAAATTCATAAACGATACATTGTTGGTTAACAATAGGGGGCTTAATTTCGTGTTGCTTAAGCTGTTGATCGAGCTTAGGGCTAACGAACACTGGTTGGACAGTCACGCTTAACTTCGAGCTTAGACTGTTCAGTTGTTGTTTAACATGATTAGCTGACGACTGGTCCTTGAAGGGTAACACTAATCTCACAGTCTCCGATGGTACGTCTGGTGATGGACAGGGTTCTGCAGATGAAATCCTTCTCTCAACGAACCGCTTGATTGTAGTTTCAACCAGTGGCTTTGGGTATTTCAAGTTATGAAAAACCCCTCTAAGGCGGTCACATTCCTCGGAGAAGAAAGACCAGTTAGAAGATAATCGATAAGCGCGATCCACCATGGTGTTAACTAGGCTGCGCTTGTACTTAATGTCAACATGACTCTGGAAATGCAGAAGGAGACCCGTGTTGGTTCTTTTGATGTAGACCTT